AGCAGTAATGGTATTTTAATAATAGCTTCTTTATCACAAATCCAATATTAAAGTAAATCAACCACACTGTTAATTTCCCAGGTTGTCAGTCACATTCACTCACTCTCACTCTGAGCTGCCAAACACAATGTCATGCCATGTCTGGTTGATCTGTGGGTAAACCACTGGATGACTGGTGCAGTTCAGGTCATTCAATCACTCTAAGTACTAAGAAATGTTTGAAAAGAGGTGTCAAATTTCTTTTTATTGAAATGTGTAATGACTGTCATGAATATAGGAGCAAGTTTTACGGTAATAAAGGAAGAGATTATTTTAAAGGCCGAAGTGGCGATGAAAACAATGATTATTCAACCACAGAACAACATCAATGGTTCATGAGACACATGAACAGTGTTGACAATGCTATTAGTGACAAATAACTTTATTAACTGCTTCTAGGGTCCCGCCAAAAACCACAGATAATGATTATGTGACTGTTTGTGGAAATGTGATTAAAGAGCACGTCTGTTTCAAAACACTACAGTGCCATTTATCATCTAAAAATACAAAGGACCTCAAGGCAGACTTTAATAAATAAGGGGCTGTGTCTTATTAGCTGGATAAAATAGTTCTTTAGAGGTCTAAATATAAAATACAATACATTTTAGATGTGTATCTCACCAATGTTCCCATAATTCCTGCTCTGCTGAGGAATGAATACGTTTTATACCAAAATACAAGTTTATGTTTTGATTGATTGAGTCAAAAAAAAAAGTGTGGTAAGAAAGAGAAGAAAAATGTGCTGATATTAAGATTATGGATGTTTAATATAGGAATTAAATCATCTTATTTGTTCTACAAACCGTACTGTATGACAGTGGTGGTAACAATTACACTTTTAGAATTTGGAATGAAAATTAAGAATGTAATTAGTGATTTTAAATGAATAATGATTTCTTAACAATAGTAGTTTTTAGTGTGATGATTTTATTTCAGTACTTTACTTCTACATTTTGACCTAAATTAATTATTTTTTTATTTTTTATACTGGTGTGGACCCAGGAGTCTGAAATAAAGTTTAAAAACTTCCCTATGAAGTTTCTGTGTGTACTTAAAGAACATGTCAGACTGTAATTGTTATTTTCCAGATTTTTGTCGAGCAGACGCCCTCTAGAAAACCTCGTTAATCCTCCTGTGAGCAGGAGAAGCCAGTGTCTTATGAAATATAATAAATCATTCTGCAGTCATGTGTCATAGACTCGTGACGGATGATTTCACAGGATTTCCCCAACTCAACTTTTGGCCCTTTTACCTTTGGCCCAGAAATGACGCTGCGTAAAATCTCGCGATAGTTGCGCACTGTATAAATCCAGCTGCCGCTCCTCCTGTGGTATCAGTTCACTGAAGACAGACAGACAACACTCGGTAAGTTTCAATGACACTTAGTTCTTTGTATTTCCCTCTTCTAGCTTTTCATATGATGCATCTACAAAGTTTGTTTTAATACGATTGAGTTCATCGAACTTTTAAAACTTGTTTTCTTTCAGGAGACATGGCAGCAGCTGACGTCATCTTACATCAGGCGAGTGTGAAAAGACTTTGATCTCCTGTTTGCAACATCAAACTCGTTATTTAGGTCAATTTGAGACAAATACCAAAATAAAACGTCAATGTCAAAGTATGGAACAGTAAGAACTTTCTGCTTTATCACTAATTTTAATATGACACCTTGAAGAA